CTTGACTGTTGAGAGAGGAGGAGGAGATGTCACCTTTGTAGTGAGAAACAGCATGAGAAGTGGCTGGGGAAGAGCTACAGTCGCACCAGTGGCAGGTCCTGGAAACAGGCTTACCAATGGGTTTCAGAGCCCATGGCTAGCTCTTAACTGCCTGCAGGAAAAAGAGAAGTAGTAAATGTTACTCTCCAGCTTTGCTTGTGTCATCTTCTGAGCCTGGTTCCTCCCCTGAAGTGTATAGGCATTGCTGACTGGTTTTTGTACGAAGAGCTCAGTGCTTTCATTTGTGTGCCTGCACTGTCTCATGGGGTTGCTTTAGAAAGCTTCTGAGCATTTCTGCTCCTTTGGTTTGTTCTTTATATTCATTGCCTTTTACTACTGACTTTCTCCAGTTACATTTTATTTTCCAAGTAACAAAGTTGCAGACAGGGAGGTTAAGACAAAATAGTGCCAAATACCTGCTATGGGTAAGATTCTCTGTGTTAAAGCCAAAGCACACACTCCTATTCTATACGTATATATCCAGGGCATGTGTTGTGCATCCACAGACACAGCAAAAAGCAGATGAGAAAAATTGTCGTGTGATACTGAATGAAAATCTTGGGACAGAAAGAAAAACAAAGGTACTGGAGCAATCCAAACTGGGCTCTGACAGGTTTCCACAGATGGCAATAGAGTTGCTGTCATTGGACTCCTACCACTGAAAACACTTCATTGAAGAAAACAAACCAAACCAAACTAGGAGATAACGCAATACAGAATATTTTTTCTAGGCTTCCTTACAAAAATATGTTTTCCAGCAGCAAATTTTTTGGCCTCTGAAGTGGAACAAGAAGCAATGCAAGAGGAATGCATAGTATTTTAGGGTTTCATTCTGCTTGCCCGGATTTCCCTTCATGCTTTTGCTTGCCAGAGCAAAGTTGTTTGCGGAGCTCTAGCAAAAGAAAAGTTTAGAAACAGTTCTTAATAATAATAATTCCTTACACATGCAGTGGAGTTCCTGTGCCATCCTTATCCTGCTGGTGGAAAGACACAGGGAATTTGCCCAGAATATAGAAATTAAGAAGGATGGGAGCTACAGCCCCTTTTTGCTCCCTTTACAGCCCCAGGTTTCCTTAGTCATCTAAGATTCCCAGTAGCGGATGCTGCAGCTGAAAATTCCTGCTAAATTCAGTTAGGAGAGTAGCGGTCTCTTCTTCCCTGGGGGGAGCAGTTTTTCACTGGAGAAAAGGAGAAATCTGCATTTATCCAGCACAGTATTTGAACAGAAAACATTCAGCCCCTGAAACTGCCACCCTTGGTACTGCCGCTTTCTGGTTCCTATTTTAAGACCATCTGAGATGGGTGCTTTCTCACAGTGTGTCTTGTGCAGGTACATAGAGGTTTCCTGGCTCAGCCCAGCTGCTGCTCCAGCCTGAGGGCACAGCTGTCACCCTTGACAGCTGTCTGGTGGATTTCTGATGTATTGGGGGGGGGAATGTATGCATGACCTGCAACAGGCAGGGAGACTTTCCTGCCTGGTGCTTGGTGAGGGGAGTAAAGTCTCTCTCTGCCATCTCTTTTGCCTTTACTCCCCAAAGGTGGTTGGGTCTGTGCATGGGTAATCCATCCCTCTCCATGGAATGAGGTCCCAGCAGCAGTGGAACAGCTGGGGTGCTGACAGCACCTCTGTCTCTCTGCCCTAATGTCACACGTCGCTGGCTCATCTCATTCTTGCCATACCCAGCAAGTTTTGTCTCTCTGAATCACGGGGCCAAGGCTGCCTGATCCCACACCCCTGTGCTGGGCTCTTTATCACTCAGACTCAGGGTTTGCTCAGCAGCGTGCTCTTGTGATAGCCCACAACTGCTTCAGAAAGTCAACTGTCTTCTCCAGCACAGGGCAGATGGGGCCAGGAGGAACAGCAGCAACAGGCAGCAATCCCGTGATATAACCATGGTGATTTCTTTAAACTCCACACTCACATATGGTATGGGCTTTCAAAGTTAAAAAAAAAAACCTCAACATTTGGTCTTCAGAGAAAACCCAACTGGCAGACACCCAGATTTAATTTGCATGCCCAATTACACAGCTCATCAGCTTTCCTGTGTGCCAGCTTACCCGGACAGGAGGGATGTTCACGCTTCCCTGTGCAGCACCTCTGCTGGGGCTCAGGGACCAAGCTGGGCCTGGCTTTCTGTGGTGGGTGAGCTTCTGTCTCACCTGCATGAAGAGCAAAGCCCCCAGGCTGAGGTACATGATGAGCCCAGGCAGGTCACCAGTCAGCTTTTGGCACTCCCCGGAGCATGCAGCATCCTGACCCACATTTTTTTTAGGCACTGCTGTGGTGTTCTTGCACAAACTCATCTTAAAGGTAAAAACCTGTGGTCTGACCCACCCATAATTAAATAAAGCTTAATTTAATTCATTTAGCACAGTGACTGATCTTGAGTGAGTGATGAGTGTAGTCTGTGCAGAACTCGTGCCTCTAAGATAAGCCATTTTTTATTGGTTGCTTTTTATGACCCTGCACATTATGTTCTTAAACTTCAGGATTTGAAACAAAGAGGAGCAAAACATCATTTTGCATGTTGTTGGGACTTTGCAGTCACTTGTACTCAGAAGTTGAACTGAATAGAACCCACAGCTCCTTCTGAACTGCTGAACTGAGATCCAAATTTTTTACTTGGTGAATTGTCAAAAATGCTCTTTGCTGTTCTCAGAGAGAAGTCCTGTGACCAGGGCTCCAGGGATAAACAAGAATTGCTGCTATATGCTCATGTTTGAATAGCTTTAGTGCTATTCACACTTGAAGCAAGAACCTGTCCCTTGCCTTGCTGTAGCTGGGCTGCTGGCATCACTCAAGTATGTGCTTTAAGTATATGCTTGGAGTTAAGTTAGTGTTTAATTACTGAGGCCCATGCCTGACATCCTGTGTAAATGATGGAGGGTTTGGTTTCTCAGGCACATTTAAGCATTGGAGAACCCTGTTGTTTAGGCTTTAGGATTGCTTCTTTTGGCTTTGTTTTGTCAAGATGGAAAAGCTGATTTAGAAATAACAAAACAGTGATTTGATTTTTGGTTGGTTTTCAGTCTTTTTTCATCTCTTTGCTTCTTCAAAATACAGTAATTTTTTTTTTTTTTTTTTTAAAAATGTAGTCATCCTGCTATGAAAAGTTGATAATAAATATCCTTATTTTCTCAGCAGCATGTTTTCTTTTTTTTTTTTTCTGGTAAAACTGTGCACCATTTGTATATGTGATGTCTTATTCCTGATAAAAGTATGTTTGCTTTTACTTCACATGAGGTTCTTATTTGCCAGAGAGTTCCAGCTGTGCCACAACTGATGCATGTTAGCTGTTCCATTGATCTGATTTGACCAATTCTTCAGCATCTTTGTAGAGTTAGAACTTGCTCTCCTACTTCCAGACAGTCAAATTTTAAGCAGAAAAAGTTGTGGTTTCTTTCATGCTCAGTGGAATGTAGACTCCAGAAGTCAAATTATTCTTAGAGCGATTTGGCTTTTGCAGCTGCCTCCTAATACACTTCTAAAGTAACAGAGAGGGGCTGAGCTAGTTCACAGCAGCCACTTGTTTGAGGAAGGTCCATGTGCTTTACATTGCTGTCAAGGCTGTGGGAAAAGCCTCACTGTGTGGCAGGTCAGTGGAGCTATGCAATGGAAAAGACAAATCCTTATCTGTGCCATATCTTATCTCCCTCTTGCTTTCAGAGATTTGACTCTGCTGCTCCCTTTCTTGCCGTGGTTTAGATTTGCACTTTCCATGTCATTCGTGGAATGATCAGAACTGAAAAAGCCTGGTTTGAAGTCATGTTTGCCAGGGTAACTGGCAGAAACTGGGGGGAGGTTGGCAGGGCGTAGCCTGAGGGCAGCTGCGGCTTCCTCCCAGCAGTGCAAGGAGCAGAGGATGGGGAACAGCTACCCAGATGGTCTTTGCCACAGCTGACTGGCTCTGGGTAATAGCTTTTGTTTCCTTACCTAAGAGTTGCCATGCCTCCTTGAGGCACTCAGCTGGCAGTATTCTCAGTTCATATCTCTGGTCTTCCTGCCCTCGCCAGCTAGGGTCCTGTCATGACCCCAGAGACCAGCTTTTATTCCTATTTTGCTTTCTGACAGAGCAAAAAAAGCTGCCATTTGGATAGGGGAGCACATGCTCTTTGCCCACCATAAGGGGAGGAAGGAGGTGTAATGTTAGAAACAGCTAAAAAATACAACAAGGAGCAACTTTTTCCTTACATGGCCCAGTTAACCATTTCTCCTGTCCTTATTGCTTCCTGGACGTACATGTGCACAGGATGCCCAGTAGAGGTGAAGGACACTTTGCATGCTGTCCTCTCTGCACAACCCTGATGCTTGATCTGCATTCTTGTATGAAGGCACTACCAAATTCAGATGGTGCAACTTTCCATGTGAGTTGCCCTACTTTAATCCGTGCTGTTTAACCACTTCAGTGCTTGCTGACAGCTCTGGCCCGTGGCATTCTTCTGCTTTACCTCGGTGTTCAAGGAAGCTGACCTTGTGTTGAAGGCTCAAGCTGTTCTCTTAAGTGGATTTTGCTGATTGGATCGTCCTTCATGTTGATGCTGTGAGCGAAGTGTAATCACAGGAGTAATGTTAAAAATCTCCCTGACCCTGGAGGCCATAAGCTGTTGCTGCAGCTGGTGTGGCTAAGCCAGTTTCTGTAGCCACTGGCTGATGGGTGTGTAGAACTGCATCCTGTGTGATTGCCTCTGGTGTCCCTACTCAAATGTTTAGATGTGGCAGACAAGCAAGGAGCTTTTTACATGAGCAAAAGATGATGATGGTGTTTGCACCTCTGGAGACTTAGCAAGACATCTGCTACATGCTGCCAGAGGATCTCCTGTAGTACATCACTCACTAATGCCAACACACATGCTCACCTTTGCAAAAGGAATTCAGTTCCTGAGGGTGAAGCACCTTAGTGTGTTCATTTCAGAAGTTCTACAAGAAATACTTCATTTTCTCATTTGTGTTTTACAGAAACCTGTTTCCTGCAAATCTTGTTGCTGCAGCTTTCCGAACGGTAAGATATGTGTGAGCTTTGGACGTGAGCTACAGTGCACAAAGTGACTGCTCTTTCTGGGAAAAGGACTAGAAAGGTGGTGTAGAAGATACCAAGAGTTAATTTAACTTACAGTAGGTGGGAGTTTTAGAAGCACCTGACATAATCAGACGATTTCCATGGCAAATGGTTTGATTTTATATATAATACAGTACGAGTCAATGTGCCATAAATTAAAATAGGTGCAGTACAAAAATATCATGAAGAAAAGAATATTCTGTGATGCCTCGAGTGTCAGGGTTCTGTGTGTTCAAGGATGAAATAAAGAAATCCTCCTTTCCTCTGTGCTGTTGTCATCACAGGTAATTGGCAATTACATAAGTTTTTCTTTCCTCTCTTTTATATCTAAAGAAAACAAGCCCAAAGTATTGCCCTGCTTTTGCAGGGTGTCTAGCTTATTTATCCAAGTGAACTGTTGCCCTAGATTTGAAATATTTTTCTGACAATTTTAATGCTTGCCTTATAATTTCTAGCAGTGAAATGGCACAAGCACCACTTGCCTTCTGCAGGAGCCTGTGCAACAGCGTGGTGTGTGAGCAGCAGAAGGGTGCAGGAAAGGGTTCCTTGGCTCCTGCCCAAATCTGGAAGCTCAGGGGGTCACAAAGCACTTCTCTTGTCACCATGTGGGGAAGACTTTTTCTGGAGACCATACTGCACAAGAAAAAGTCTTCCTAACAGTCATCTCTTCCTTGTGGAATACTAGACGACGTGATCATATTGGTTATGTTTTTTTCTTACCTGCAGTATGCAACAGAATACAAGATGCTGCTCAGAAACACTACCTCTGGAAATGTCACATGGGAAAAGGTAAGGTCACTTCTTAGGTTTTTATACAAACTCTTTTCAACCGTAATATTTGACTGCTTCAGTCTTTAATCCTTTCCAGCAGTCACTGGGAAGAAGTACTCCGCTGTGTTACCCACAGCCACACAAGAAAGCTATGATGGACAGGATAGTTGGACTCAACTGATCTGACCTGTGTGACCTTGTTTTTAGGCCATGATTTCTTAGACCTCATCTCACCTGATCTAAGTTCTGATTAATCACCCTGCCTAATGTTAGCACATAACTTTCTGTGGACTTGGAATTAAATGGTGATCAGGCTGGCTGAATATGTCCCTTAAACCCTACTCTTCAGCAGTAGTTTGGAGGGAATGAACTTTGTTCCACTAACCAAAGCTCTGTTTTTTTAAAAATGGGAAAAAAAAAAATTTTTTTAAAATGAGGTTAGTTGAGAATTTTTTCTTGTTGCAATGCTGCTGAAATTTTTTTTGAAGGAGTAACAAGTGATCTGAAAGAGTAAAAATTACAGAACATTGCAAACAGGCTGCTATTGCAGTCGTGTCAGAAAGGAAGTTAATCTGCAGGTGGAGCTGAGGTAGAGAGTGTTATGTTTCATATGTAGCACGTAGGGCTTCCAGGGATGCTCTATATCGTGTTGAGTGGCATCTCTCCTGCAACATGGGGCTATCAGACATCTTTTTGTTGGCCAAGGTCAACATATTTCAGGTCCAGCAACAATCACCCTTGTCTTACAGGCATTGAGCTGTGAAACAGACCCAGCCTGCAACGTGTCACCTCACTCCAAATGAAATATCTCACGTGGTTTCGTGGGGTTTTGGGGAGACGGGTCTGACACTGAAAATTACTTTCAGGGTTCTTTTCTATTTCTCAGGCTTACTCTGACTATCTGAGATCAGTGTGGGAGGTTGGGCTACTGTGTTTTTCATATGATTAATATGAACACCCCTCGAGCGAGAGACTTGGAGCGTTTGTATTTGTCATGGAAGGGCTCAGCTGGGGCTTGCCCAGCAGTTTGAAAAGGTAATTGATGCTCCTGCAGAGGGACTCTGGAGCACACCCCCGGGCACAGGAGGCCCTGGCCTCACGACCCGCTCCTGGCCACGCCGGGGCAGAACAGCGCGTCTCCCAGCGCGCTTTGGGCCGGCGGGCTGAACTTTCACCAGCCTCTGAGGCAGCGTGGCAGGTGACTCGGATGGCACAAGGACTGAGCAGGGGAAAAGTCACCCTTGCCTGCAAGCCTGCTACCACACAGCGAGCAGTTTCCCCGGGGAAGAGGGCAGCCCCATCTGCCCAGGCTCTGCCCAGGCCTGTGAGATTGCCTTAGCCCAGATCCGCACTCGCCCCATCTGACACGGGTGTGTGGCAATGGCTGCATCCCAGCAGAGCCCTTTCTCTCCTCGTGCCATTATATCCTCAGGCAGTACATGCCCAAGCAGCCTTCTGCTGCTGGAAAGCAAGTTCAATATGAAAAGCTCTAATCATGTGCTGTAGATGTGTGTGTTTGCTTACAGGGCGTAGAGTTGTTCTTCATTTAAGCAGAATGAAAAGGTGAATAAGACTCTTCCTATTCATCTTCAGTGTTGAGTTTGACAGGGCGAGTTTGGCAACCAAGCACGGATCAGGGCCAGTCATATCCATTGAACATAGGCTTGGCTGTCAAGTGCATTTCTGATGCTTGTTCAAAGCCATCACTCTTCCTCAAAAGATAAAAATGCATTTTTGGCGATTTAGGAAATGAGATTCTTTTTCAATTTTCTTTCCTTTTCGCAGTTATCAGACTCCTGTTTGAGGTAATATCAGAAAAAAAAAACCTGAATTTGTCACTGGTGCCTGTTTTTGCCAGTGATTATGATGTAAAGGTTATTTCTGGTGTTGCTTTTCCAAAACTTTTCTTCAGTTGTTGGAGCGAAACCGGAGCTGAGATTCTTTAATTCCAGAAGACGCCCTACTGCCTCTAGGGAAAAGTGGACCAAATAAAAAGCAAGCATCATCTTAGTTTTGTTAGCTCAGTTTCAGTCCTGGTCTGACCATATTATTTATGGATAGATGAGGATTAAGTTTGGACAGGAAGAGTATGATTTTTGGATAATACATAGTATAAGTATCATAGCGATAGAAATTGGGTTCCAGGGAAACAAGACGATATTCCTATCTAATGGTTTCTTTTCCTAGCAGAATCTTTCATTGTACTTTCCATATGAATAGCAAAGAACAAAACTTTCCATTGATCATGTTTTTTTCCCCATCACTGGTTAACAGGCCCTGTCTTCTCTCGCTGATGATATAAATAGTGGGGCACGTAGATGTCTGCTCAGCCATGTCCTTTTTGTTGTTTCACATGCTTCCCTCATGTTTACCTAGCTTTTATGGCTACATCCTCTCTGTTCCTTTGGCAGCAAGGATTCCTGGGGCACAGGCTATCTTAGCTCCCCATCTGCAGCACAGGGAGCCTCTGGGAGACTCTGAGTTCCTCTCATGGCAGCAGTAAAAATACACAAACCAGTGATTGCTCTTCTTCCTCACATCACACAGCTGCATTTTCTTTTCAGCCACCTACTACTGGGACAGCTCAATGTCAGCAGTTGTTTCCTTGATAAGCATTTTGTTTCAAGAACTAGAAAACAATAGGATCTTCAGAGAGATTCAAGGACCAGAAGAGCTCCATGAATCTTCCTACCAGAACACAGAATTTCAAGCAAACAATAACACGTCCCACAGTTCATCCAGGAACAAAGCTCTCATTAAAGCTGGTTTTGTTTGGTGTCCACAATGCTGCTTGGTTTGGCAGCTCCTTTGGGGTGATGCACTCTTCTGTCAGAGTACAAAAAGACCGTTCAGCATCTGCCAGTTTTAGAGGCTGGGACTGAGAGGATCTTCCGCTGAGGATTTACTGCTGGACCCTTTCCATGTTGTGCTACAAGGAGGTGAAATCCCCTGAAGGCTGCAGATTGTGCCCTTGGTTTGCAGGAAGCAGTTTCTTGCAGTAATTTACTACTCCGCAAACAATTCACCTTCTGCCTACAAGTGTGGTGATGGGAGGAGATGGTGAATGTTGTGTTGTAAAGAAATTGGCTCAAGAGGGAGAAAGGGAGAGCAAGACCTGAAAGGGTGTGGCAGAATAGCAGTGAATAGAGTGAAACAGCTAAGAAGGTTTTGGTGGCTGTGCAGAGTCCTTCCTCCTGTTGCCAGGAATTCAGGGGTCCCCAGATCACCAGAGTTAGTCTTGAAGTGTGAGCACTTGCTGAACAGCAGCAGCAGTGATGACAATGCCAAAAGCAAGGTGCAGAGAGACATCTCCAAGGGTGAGAGAAGGCTTAACCCCATGCATTGTCATTCTGGAGGGGTGTAGGGGAGCTTGAGAAGAATTGGCCAATTTATGCACAGTAGGCCACTGTGAAGGTTAAGATGAAAGGTGAGAAGCCACCTGTGTTCTGGCTGTAGCTAACTGGAGATGCTGCTATCTCTTGCCCTCCTCTAGCTTCCCAAGAGCAAAATTTGGCAAGCCTTTGGCACCTATGGCTCTGAAGAAGGTGGAGCCAGCTGATGCTTGTGGGGATTGAATGACCCATAAGACCCCTGAATCTCACTAGGCGGGGAAGTGACCTTCCAAATTCAGCACTAAGAGCTCTGGCCCTGGTTCTCCTGTGTGCCTCCCAAACTCTGTCCTGCTCTGTGTCCCTGTGTGCCCTACACAGCTAGTGGGAAGCTGAGCAGTCCTCTTGGAGATTCCTTACACGTCTGCCTTGTTCCTGAGACCAGCTCTCTGAGAAGCCCAAATGGTATCAGGTTGCTGGGTTTGTGTCACACCACTGCCTTTAACGAGTTGAGAAGCAAATCTTCAGTAGAAGGAGTTTAAAGGGCAGAGATGCTTTGCAAAACATCAGCATAAAGGAGTATAATGAAATTCCCTCCCAGTAAGATCCAAGTCAGGATGCTGGGCACTTTCAGCAGCTTGAAACATTGAATTTCTGTTCCATAGCAAAGTTCTGTGTCTGTTTTTTTTTCCTGAAGGAGAACCAAAACCAAAAGAGCACTCAATGTTCTTAGAATTTTTTTTTTTTATTTTGTGAAAGAAGTTTGGCTTCATGATGGTAAAATTCTCTTCCAAGCTGAACTTTTCATATGAGCCTTTTATGGCACGAAGCTGGTATGAGATATTACGTTATAAAATATCTAGTTGGAAAGAAAAAAACCCAAAACACAACATCAAGGTGAAAAGTTGTATCAAAATTGATGTATTACATTTGCTTCATGTGAATGAAGTAAGAGATTTTTTTCTGGTGTAAAAATGTTCAGGTTTTGCCCAATTTGACATTTCCCAGAGAAAGTTTTGGTTTTCATTAGATGACATGGCAGCATTATTTTACCACACGTAAGGTTTATTCCTTATTTCTGCTAATACATTAGTCATAAAATCTGAGACTCGTACATCGGTTTGTACGTTGTTGCTGATAAATTGTCACTGAAATTTTATTAGATTCTCTTCAGCCTTAGGGCAGATCTCATCTCCTACCCTAGAGCTGGGTTTTTCCAGCTAAAGTGAATAAGAGAACAACATGTGTGTGCTGTGTACACAGTTTATTCAATTAATAGGAGGGTGTCTTTTTTTTTTTTTTTTCCTAACTTTTCTAGCCACAGAAGAGTTTAGGGCTTTCAAGCACACAAAACAGAATATGGACAAAAGTGTCTGGACAGCAAAGTGTTACAGTGTGTGGAGACAACAAAACATTTCTTCAGACATCTCTGGAGATACATTGCAGCCTGTTCTTAATATCCTATCCTTGTTTTCAATTCTTTCAATCGGAAATCAAATAAATACTGACCACTTAGCCCAGAACAAGCAACTACCATAAAAATTTGCAGATCCTGTATCTAATTATTTTGTAGCTAGCAAATAAAAAAGAGACAGAACCTTCATTGTTTGTAAATGCTTTTGTTACCAGCAGTTTAACATTCATGCTTTTGTGCCTAATTTCTGTTTTATCCACTTCCCTGTAGTACTTTGATTTCACCTGCCACTAAGATACAGGCCAGTTCAGCAGTACACTTCCAGAAAAAATATCATCTCAAGCAGGCTGGTTTTATCAGATTTAGCAGATCAGTATCCCAAGTTCTTTAACCAATATTCATTTTAAGCTTTTAGCTCAGAGTATGTTTTTCTTTCCTAGTGTTGAGCTAGTGTCTACTTAAACTGGCCAGAAGGCCAAAACTTGTTCACGAACCTAATCTGTTTTAGAAACCCTTCCAAATAAAACAACAATTTGACATGTTGAGCTTGTACTGCCAAGCTTGAGGGGGGAAACCCAGTTTGTCAAAACAATTATGTTTTTACGTAGCCACAAGAGCACTCATTCAGTTTGTGTGAGACTACATTGCCAAACAAGCTCCACTCTTTGAGGAATAAACTGTGAAGGACCAGCAGAGCAGACAAGCTTTTGTCAATAGGTGGATCCTGGTTTTATCCTCTTATTTTTACCACACAGCCACCTGATTTCTGAGAAGGGGTACAGATATTTATTCTGTTCTTGCTGTATCTCCCACAGCTGATGTGGACAGATGAATGAGTAGGTTTCCACTGCTTGCTACTTCACTCTGCCCCTCGCTTCCCTTTCTGCTTCACAACATTGTTTGTTTTCTCATGGTTTTCACCTTGGTATAAATACTGCTCTAAAGTGATGGAGCTGTCAGAGATGTCAGGAAGTAAAAGCATGTCTGGGGCCAGACCACTGCAAGCCTTTGGCAGGTAGGATTTGTTTAGGTGGTGGAATATCATAGTGCTGACTGTGAATGACACTGACTGGAATAAGCAGAGCTAGGAAGTCAGTGTCACCAGTACCTGCCATTTATACCTGCAGTCTCTCCCACACTCATCTTCCCTCCTGGGGAAACAGGGGGGAAAGTTTCAGTCTTTTAACTGCACGTGTGTGATTGGTGCCTGTGCTGTTTTGCATCTGCAGTGGAGCTTGTCCCAAATAAACTGGGGAGATTTCCTGTTCATGTCACTGAGAGCATGTGTCCTATTGAAGGGCATGAGGAGATGTAGTGGCAGCCCTTTTTCTTCTTCAGTGAATACATGCCAGCTCATAACTAGAGAGGTCTGTGTCTGGACTGCATCCACATCTTGTTTGGTTCCCTTCAACAAAATAGGTTCTTCCTTCCCAAAATAGATTCTGCTTGTTATTTTGGATCAATCAGGCCACAACAAAATGAGGTGACCCCTTTATTAGGGTATACACTCCTGTATAGTGTATAGAATACACTCCTGTATTCTGTGATTCTATGATTTAACAAGCCTTTTTTTGCCTCTACAGATCCCTGTTGGTACTGAGATTGAAGGGATGAATATCCTGGGGCTGGTGCTGTTTGCTCTGGTTTTAGGAGTGGCGCTGAAGAAGCTTGGCCAGGAAGGGGAAGATCTGATTCGCTTCTTTAATTCGTTCAATGAGGCAACTATGGTCTTGGTTTCCTGGATCATGTGGTAAGTGTGTGACTGCAGGTACAGCTGCAGTATAGTGTTATGCTCAGTTCAGGAACCTCACTGTTCATCCATCTCTCCAGCTTTTTCCTACCAGATCGATCATCACAGCAAAAATGGGTGTCATGGGTGTCACAGGATGGGGTCTTCTTGCTTATGCTCTGTGATTAGGCAGTCACACGTAGCATAAGGTAGCAGTCTGGGACACTTGAGGATTGCTTAAAAATCCTCTCCAGGGCTCCTTTTTGATTAACTAGTGGAAAGAATGCTTTGTATTTCAAAGCAGTGTAAGCCTATGGCTAGCTGTCATCATGTACCTAAAGCCACTGTCCTTGAACAAGTAAAGAAGATGTGAGGAATATGGTCATGTGAAGGCCAGGGATGTTTGTGCTTGGAGTGCACTTGCAAATGCAGTGAGTGACTGAAGTCATACTTGTAGCTTCGTGCCTTGATTTTTCTATTGGTCAAAAGGTTACTGGTTTGAGAGAAACCCTGTTGAGTGCATGTGTACAGAGCCCAACCTGCCCATTTAGAACCATAGAATCATTAAGGCTGGAAAAGATCAAGACCAACCGTCACCCCAGCACAACCATGACCACTAAACCACATCCCAGAGTGCCACCTTTACATGTTCTATAGAATCATAAAGGGTGATGGAGAACCTACATCCCTTTGTGTAGAGGAGAGAAACAGTCTCCAGGGCTCTGCTCTCCATCCTACTGAAAACAGTAGAGCTGGCTATTGAGTGTTTTGTTATTGTTACCAGCAGAACATGAGTTGATCTTTACATCTCCATTCCTCTTCTAAGACCTCTTTCAATTTCTTGGGTGAAGCAAGAATTAACATTACTAGCAGAATGTGCAAGTCCTGTATTTCAGTTGCTTCTCTGAAGTCCAGACATGTTTTTGGGGTGAATGTTTCTCTGACTGATACCACAAAGCTTTTGACACACAAAAAAAGGTCTGTATGTTAGTAACTGGAGCCCACTGAACTTTCTCACTAGGCAAGAAACCAGCATTGGAGGAGTCGGGCACCTCTAGAGAGCAGTTCAGGCCACCAAAACTGGCATAGGACCAACCTCCTGACCAGGTTTTCTGTCAGATTAGATGATGCTGGGCCTCAGGGCAGTATCATGGCTGTTCTTGTGCAGCTAGATGGGTCTAGGCTGCTCCTGTGAAACCAACAGTACTAATACCTCACACACAAAAAGAAAAATATTTGTAAGGACAGCTAGCTAACAAATTAACAGTGGGACATTTCTCACTCTCTTTCCAAAGCTGTTGGAAGAGCTATCAGCTTACCTTAGCAGAGGGTTTTTTTTTTTAGATCCCTTAATTCTGCATTTTTCATTCCTTGTATTTTCCTTCCTCTGAGAAGTAGAAAGGTTTTAACAAAACACCTGATTTTACACAGGCAGATCTCTGTTAGTTGCTGTCATAAGGGACTGAAAAATTCAAAGTCTCAAAGCAGCTTAAGTCTTTTACTCTCGAGTGTAATTCCTTGGACACTGAATACTGATAAGAGGCAGTTCTTGTATTCAGCTGATTACAGTGCTAACGCTTCAAGCCAATCAGTTGATATATAATCCTTTACTTCATGGATTATAGGGACCACAACTGACTCTTAACACTGCAGTGCACTGTAGCCCTTACTTGTTCTCTTTCCTTCCTTAAGGCTCTTGTGTTGTCCTGGTATATATTCAGAATCTGTTGAGCTGCATGTGCTTCCCAAAGGATACTTTGGAATGGTTGAAAATCATACTACCAAGAGAAAAAGCAGCTTGAGCCCCTATCTAGACCCATTCAACAGCTGCTCACATGTTTAGTAGCACTTTTTGGTCTCAACTTTCAGTTCTTTCCTCTCCAGCCCCTTTCATCAGGGGGAGGGATCCAGTCTCAGCTCTGAATCCAGCATTCATGCTTGCAGAGCCTGTGCAGGACCAGGGGCTCAGCTAGGTCTGGCTCATCAGGGTGCTCAGAAACATAGTTCAAAGGCAGCATGTCACAGAACTTGCAGCAGCTAACTGTAGAAGGTTCAACAGCACCCTCCTAGATATTTGGCCAAGGGAGGACAGAGAAGGGATGCTCACATTGATCTGGGACATAAATAGGTGCTCTCTGCACAGAACAGAGGAGCTGCACTACCACTGAGGGCAGAGGCAGGCTGGGAAGAAGTGAATGATCTGGGCAACCTTAATGCTAGTCCACCTTTCCAAACCTTTGTATGCTTAACCAAACGTTCTGACATTGGTCCTGACCCCACAGATCAGCTTCTCAGAATGTGGGTATTGGATTTGAGGAGAGTGGAAGGGAAAACATACTGTATTCCTCAGAGGTACAGGCAGATCTTTCCTAGTCACATGTGTGCCTGGGGCAGGGTTTTGTACAGCTGGGTGATCTTTTAATATTTCTTAATCTTAGAAGCAGGAAAAGGTACTCAGACACAGAAATCCCAAGTAGAGCTGAAGTGATTCCTGCAGTTCATTTAGTAGCTGTTCTGCTGTAGGTGCAAGGGCAATTCTGTCATTCCAGGAGTGTTCCTAGCTGCACCACTGGGACCAGAGGTGTGGTTTGGCCTGCAGGTGGCCCTTCCCCTGGAACAGCTCCAAGCATTCCTGACAAAGGAAACCTCAGACAACTGCTGACGCCCTGAGACGTGGCAGGTTTCTAGGTAGGAGGCACAGGAATGTACGTGTACGTGGCTCTTGGCTTGAGGAAAGCTCTGGAAGCCTGATCGTTTCACTTGGTCTTATTGAGGAAAATAGCAGTTAATTGCTATCTTTGGCACGTGCATCAGCAGCCTTTAGCTGAGCTCTCTGGTATGAGCAGAGCTTTTTATCTCATACACTGATTATGTTGGCATCCAGTATGTCTACCATTTTAATGACCTGACTTCATACTTCTGGTAGTCACCACATGTGTAAGATCCTACTCTTCCACCTCTTTCTCATCTCCAATGACATGATACTGCTCCTTTTTCTTTCCTAACATCTGCTATCCCTTCAGCAGTGACTTTAGCTTTAGGTCTTTGCCTGCCTTCCTCCCTGATGGACTAAAACTCCACACCCTTGTCCTGTCCTGATAGCTTCTGCCAGCATTCCTGATTCCCACTGGGCTTCCCTTCAGCACTCTCCTAGCTGCCTCTTCCAGGGTCTAGGTCAACAGGGCTTTTTCCGTTTGACTGCTTGCCTTCCTCCAAGCAGGAGGGTTAGAGAGGCCTTCCAAATTTGCTTAACCTAAGTGTGTGGTGAATTAGGTGCTACTCTTCAGCATCTGTAGAAGAATCTTATCTCCAGAGTGGAAAATGGCATGTTTTTCAAGGCTTTTTTTGTGTACTTAATGACAGGCAATATTTCTTTACACAGGTATGTGCCTATTGGCATTATGTTCCTTGTTGGGAGCAAGATTGTGGAAATGGAAGATGTTGTGCTTCTGGTGACCAGTCTGGGAAAATACATCTTTGCCTCTATTCTGGGCCACTTCATCCACGGAGGAATCATTCTGCCACTTATTTATTTTGCATCCACACGTCAAAACCCATATCGTTTTCTCTTAGGGCTTATCACACCACTTACCACTGCTTTTGCCACTTGCTCCAGGTGGGTTTCTATCCTGCTTTTGGGATTATAGCCTGGTTATATTTGTCACTGTAAACTGGGTATAACCCAACACCAAACTGTGTTGAGTTTGAGGTGTGAATGTTGTTCCTGAGATGGCAAAAAGAAGCTTCTGGGTGTAGAGAGTCTCACTGCTGTCAGCAGCCTACCACACAGCATATACTTATAATTAGCTGTTGAAAACTAATCCTGAAAATATTGGGAGTGTAGCAGGATGCTGAGCTGGAATTTTTTTTTTAAAAAATGAACATATTTGCCTTTAAAATATCCTACCAGATGTCCTTTTGATTTTAAGTAAAGTGAGGGTCAGGAGTGAGGGGTTATGAATAAAACTGTGTCATTTATAATGCAAGAAATAAAACCAACAGTGATTTAAAATATTTTTATTATTTGTTTGTTCATTTGAGAAGGTACTAGTACGACATTAACAGAGGCTGCTGTTGCATCTGTTATGTTTATATGGGCATCTGTTGGTGTATTTTTGTGGTTTGAGACTTGATCATTCCACAGCTTTGTTAGGCTGCATGCTGTGTTAAGTCATGAGTTCTTTCTTCTGGGAGATTAGAGTCCTTATCAGCTATTTCTGGATGGAAGCAGATTATTAAACACCACTGCTGAAGACCAACAAGGAGGGTCTCTCTTTAGTCTAGTGACAGAGAGGGACTATAAAATGTCATCATTGTCTTGGCAGCCCTCTCTGCAGCATGTTAGAAACACGAAAGCCGTGAGACGGTGACCTCCCCTTCAGGTGCTCCGGGTCTGACTGTCCCCTCTTCTGTTTCTAGCTCAGCCACGCTCCCGTCGATGATCAAGTGTATTGAGGAGAACAATGGGGTGGACAAGAGGATCAGCAGGTTCATCCTTCCTATCGGGGCGACTGTAAACATGGATGGGGCTGCCATTTTCCAGTGCATGGCAGCTGTGTTTATTGCTCAGCTGAACAATGTCGATCTCAACCCTGGGCAAATCTTCACAATTCTGTAAGTTGCTTCCTATTGCAACCACATCCTTCTGGCCCCCAGACACATTCAAGCTTGTGGTCTCTCTGTTAATAGCTAGCAGTTTGCATTCCACATCTCTGACCTAAAGCTTGCAAGCTGCTATGAAACGTAATTATGGGGTGATTAAAGGATGGAGTCTTTCAAGCTTTGTAAGATTTGCCAGAATCTCGATTTAATAAAAGGTGGAACCTGGGAGGGATAATTGAATTCTGAAACAGACTTTGAGCTGTTTAAAGCTGTTCCTCACATGAAATTCCTCTCCTTCCTTAAGCATCTCACTCCCCTACCCTCCACTCACCATTAAGCTGGGTAACTGAAGAATGCTGCTCTACCCAGAAAGCTACCTCTGATTCCCTCTCTGGATGTCTTAGAAAATCCTCCTGCCAGCTCCTTAGTTTCTTATGTATGACTTTCACACTCGAGACTGCTCCTGCTTACCTCTTCCTACTATCACATCACTGACTTCCCAGGTCAGACCCATTATCATGCCACTCCTGATTGTTTTTCTCCATTATGCCCTCCACCACTTCAGTCCTACCTCCTTCTCTAGGACTTTTCCTTCCATGCTTGGTATATCCTCCCATGTCCCATATCCCATGAAGTGTCATTCTCTTCACTAAATAAGGATCCTACAAGAAATTCTAGCCCCTCACTCAGCTGTATTCACTGGATGCTTCACAAGGCTGGTTCCTGGTATTTTTTTACCCTCCCTGGCCAGGTTTTATTCCTTCCTTATTGCCTTTCCAAGTATATAGTTTGTCTGTTGAATGCAGGGCTGGGGCATTGTTTCCTTTGCAGATGGCCAAATTAGCCTTGCCTGTACTCTAGTGAACCACTGGTTAACACAGACCTGAAGGTTTACACCCAAGGAATACTCAGCTGTAGCCACCTGCACACAAAAAGGTGTGTGGGCCATGTCTGTAGCACATGCTCCACAGGTTTCCAGCTCCTGGTTTAGGCTCTGTGGATGCAAACGAGACGCAAAGAAGGGACAGCACCCTCCATGGCAAAGTTTACCTGTCTACATTTTGGACCAGGAGATGTAATGTACTCAAGATAGTTGAACCAATACATGACTTGGAGATGGATATATTTGTAAGGCAGCAAGGTGTAGTTGTGTTGGTTGGGTGTGCTCTGTGCCCATTGCTTTGCATCAGCAGGCAGGAAAGGGTTTGCCTGGGAAGCAAGTGATCCGAGTTCCCCACGCTGTAGAGTTTGTTTACAGTTCCCACAGCGGGGGAAATGTGTGACCTGAGTGTAGAGGAGGAATGCTGTGGAGCTCCTGGTAACTGAGGCACCACTCGATTCACAGTGTGACAGCCACTGCGTCCAGCGTGGGCGCAGCCGGGATCCCGGCCGGCGGAGTCCTCACCATCGCCATCATCCTGGAGGCCATCGGCCTGCCCACCAACGACCTCTCCTTGATACTCGCCGTGGACTGGATTGTGTGAGTACCTTGGGCCACACGTGCCTCCTGCTGCATGCTCAGCTGGAAACGTGGGGCAGGGGAGTCAAAATAGTGTAGTAGAAAGTAAAACCCTACAAGGTATGGCTGCATAACTCTTGACAGATAAAGGTGGTCCCTTCTCAATTAAAGCATCATGTTAAAATCCCTCCTCAGCTGTTTTACTCAGACTTTATTGAAATGTGGTTCTTCCTGCTTTCAATTCTCGTTAGAAGGATTGTTAAAAGGTTGTTCAAGAAGGTGTTGATCCTGCTGGATTAGTTGGACACTAGGAGGGAAGGGGGAAAATGGAAATTGAGTCTGAGTAGTGGTGGGAAGCTTTCTCAGTCATATGTATGAAGCAGTCTCCACCAGCAGGTTTTGTCAGCTATTTGAACTATTTTTATAGCCCCAACACAAGTGTCACCAAGAGGTGCCATCCATTGGCAGGGCAGGGACACAGAGAGTTTGTGGCACTTAGCACAGCTGTGGGCAGCGTCACGGCTGGAACATGCTGCTGGAAGTCACAAGTTTAGTACACAGTATTACCAGCTTTGCTTTCCATCTTGTGGGAAAGAGCTAAAAGGTGAGACCTTTGCTCAGCTCCTTCTCTTCTTTCCAAGAGCCATTCCCCTCCTCAAAGCATAAGAGATTATCCCCTTTCCCAGCTCTGTTTGTTATCTCACCACTTATCATACTTAGGTCCTTTTTAAGGCCTAAATTTACCTTCTGCACTACCCGAATTAGATTAAGGAAAGAAAGCCTAGAAAATGTCTTTGGCTCTAAGTATTGGGGACCCAGCCACAAATGCATCATGAGTGTCAATGCCATCTGCAGATAATTTCTTACAGCTTATAGGAGTCCTATGGGCAAAGGTGTCTCTAGTTTTCCTTGAACAAACATCTCATGAAGTACAGCATGCTTAGAGCTTGAATGCTAGTGAAGTAAGCATGATCTGATAAAGAAAAAGCATAATCTGCTTTCAAGCCATCTGGCTGAAGTTGGGTATTGGGCTGAAATCACTGGTCAGTGTGGGTCAAGCAATCTGAATCCCACTGGGTTTTTTTTTTTTCCAGTTGGATGGGCTTCTGGGCAGTTGCTGGTTTAAACTGTACATAATCCCTCTGCACTACTATTTGGAAACATCACCCTCTCTGTATAGATGGTGTTCTTCACAGCAGATGTGGAAATTAGGATGCCCAAGGACAGTCTGGAATTCCAGAGGCTGGGGAAGAAGGCAGCTGTATTACCTCTCTCCCTTCCCACACCACACGTGTCTATGGCACACAATCATATTCCTTCAGCTTCATTAGAGACAGCCAACTCTTTCTTGCTGCCACCTCTTGGGGATCAACAAAGGACAGGAGAGACAGAGAAAGCAGTGGCTAGCCCTTTGTATCCCATCTTCCTAAGGGTTTACAGTAGCAATTTGACAAGCTGTACTTGCAAGTGCTTGGAGGCAGGAGTGAAGAGCTTGCCTGTGTGATGCTGGCTGCCTTCATTTCAAAATGTGTAGCATCCCTCTGTGGTTAACACTGTTGTTATAGTCAAGGAACTCAGCTTATGGTAACAAAAGTGGTAAGGAGGGAGGAAGGGAAGAGTCCTGTGTCTTGTTTTAATGCCACCTGTTTAATTACCAGAGACGACCACAGTGACAAGTTGAACACTTGCTGAAGTTAGGCTGCAGAATGACTAAGAAGTCCCAAAAGGCACATGAAGAAATAGTTCTTCCTTATGCCCCATAAATCTCCTCCATTAGACCCCGGGACAGAGGAATTTTGTGTTATAGGACCAAAGGTTAGGACAGGTGCTAATAGCAAGAAATCCAGAGAACACAGTTGTTCTGGCTGCTTTTGGAAGGACCCCTAAGTAAGTGTTTGGGTTAAGGTACAAGTCTCTACAGTTAGAAAAGATAGCTGGGTGCTCTGCATCACCTTCTAGATAAACCCAGATGAAGTTCCTGCTCTGAACTCTCATTTGAGAAATGCTGGCCTGAGGATGGGAGAGAGGAAGGATGTGGGCTGGGAAAAGAAGGATGCCTGAGAAAGAGCAGTACCATTATTGCAACCCTCTGAAGGACCAGAAGCAGTTGACAGTAACGGTTGGGCCAACCTTAAACCAGCTCCAGGGCACAATTTTAGTCTGAAATGGTGATGATACTTCTGTGGAAAATACCTATAGTAACAACATCTCCCTTGTCTAGCTCTACTGATGTTAGTGGCTTAGCAGGGGTGAATCATCTCCCCTTATTGTGTTGTGACACTCTTAAGTTAAAAGAGTGCTGCTTTGTTTTTCTGTTTCTGATCTTAACCAGGGACCGGACCACCACCGTTGTGAATGTGGAAGGGGATGCCCTAGGAGCAGGCATCCTGAACTACCTGAATGAAAAAGCAAATAAAGACAAAGAGCAGGAGCTCAAGGAAGTCAGCGTAGAAGCAATTGCCAACAGCAAGTCTGAAGGAGAAACATCACCTTTGGTAACCCACAAAAACCAAGTCTCCAACACATCCAGTACAGCAGACCCTGAATCCAAGGAGTCAGTATTGTGAACTAAAGGCTGGTCATCAAACGAGTCTTAGAGGTGGACTGGGGACTCGTTATCACACCTAGACGTTTGCAGTGCCAACGAGGGCTGCATGGCTCTTGAGAGTTCAGTACCAGTCTGTTTTGAAATACACTGGCCTGGGGAAGGGGAGGGAGGTGGGGTGGGCAGAACAGGGGTGTTGAGAGAGAACACTTCCTTTATAATAGTATTTTGATAATTCGTATCTATACATGTGTATGTGTTGCACGTGCACACACTTACACATGTATGTGCAAAGAATGCCATTGAGACTTCTGCTTTAACAAGACTTCTGTTAGTAAAGGCTCTCATATGGGTTGGAGATGGGGAAGTAGACAAACCCAGTATGTGCTTATTGTAGGGAAAAAAATAGTAAGCTTATTGTGCTGCTGTTCAAATGGTGATGCAGTCTAGAAACTCCAAAGTGGGTGAAAATGTTGCTTAAATTAAGTTTCTGCCCTGAAAAACGCTAATGAATCATTACAGACATAATATGAAGCAACTTTTTTCTCCCACTCCCCTTTCTCTCCTGCTTCCTATCCCTTAAAAACTTCAACTGTATCCTGAAAACTAGATTTTTCTTTTTCTAATTTTTTGTTTTGTTTTGTTTGCTATCTGAATTATGGGCTTATAGAGATCCTTGTTCCATTCCCCCACTGCATTGCAGCTGGTAGCAGCTTTCCTGCCTCTTGGTGAGTAACTCCCAAACTTTGGGACCAAACATAGGAGATTTTCTTGCGGATCAAGGACGTGTTCTCTCCTTTCCTCTAACCAAGCTGTTAAGGAAAAAATTCAGAGGAAACACAAATTTTGTTAAAGTAACCCCTCTGGGTCTAAAAAAATTTCTAGAGTCTGTTCCAGCACAAATAGTTCTTGAAGAGGCTTGTCTGTGGCAACATCAGGAAGTCAGTTCCCTTCATGGAAACAGGCATGCTCCTTTGCTTGCACATCATGTCCTGCTCATGTTTATTTAATGGGTCAGTCCAAACAAGACATATTCCTCTTCCAGCAAAACTGAACAGGGCAGGAAAAAATCTGAACACACATCATGTGGGAACCGAGACAGGCAAGTCTGAGTGTTGGTTTAAAAGGGGAAGAGAAGAGGTGAGGTTATAACCCCGTGTAGTTCAGTGATCTCTGTGTTGGGACAGCTGCATACCTGTTCCTGCTAGGAGTTTGGTCCTGCCATAAATGTCCTCCTGGCAGCAGCTTACATTTAGTAATTCTGGGTGGTCCTGGGTAATGCCTAGTGGCAGATGGTAACCTTTGCTTGAGGCTGAGCCAAATGCTTCTGGATTCTGACTCCACCTTTTTTCCTTTACAACATACTTCCTGAATTTGCACTCCAAACCTGAACAAAGTCCAGTAAACTCACTGCAAAGATCCTGTTGATTTAGCTTGGCTTTTTGGACAGCAGATAGTTACAAAATTACGGCTGTGCATATGCCAAGATTTTCCTGGACTTGTGATGCTTTCCCTTGGCTGCTTCAGGAAGATGATTGCATATGATCAGCCTTCACACTGTTAATTCAGCAGTATATATTTACACTTAGCTTTGATATAAAGTAATGCTAAGTATCCCTTTTTCTTTCTCCTTTCTTGCTTCAGAGGAAGCTCTCTTGGAAAGACAGCCAGTTGCTGATGTTTATGTTCACAGCACTAGGAAGAGCCAGCTCCAGATTTCATAGCAGCAGCAGCAGCCTTCATTTGCAAAGCATCCTTCCTGGTAAAGGGACACAACGAATTTTGCAGAAAGTTGCTCAGAATGAGATGTGGCTACCTCTGAGGGAAAACACAGTGAGTGTGTCATTACTGGCTGTTTAATCATGTGTAGCAGGGCTACACAAATAATCAAAGTAGGAAAGGATTAGTCAGCCCACTGAGAAAATGCAGGTGGAGTTTCTTTTTAACCAGTTTATTTATAACCATGTCCATGGAATTTGGTCATTCCTTGGCTCATCTTCAAAATGGAAGGAGACAAACACAGTTCTCTGGGGACATCCTTTGCCTGGTATTTATTATTACATTTTTAGCAGATCAAGACCTCCTGAAACTCTATTTCCTCTCATTAGAATCATCCCAACTCCTTTCATCTCAGGAAACCACACTGTGGCTGACAATGAAAGCCAACAAATAAGAAGTGTTTTGAAAAATGTTGGCAGCTTGAAAAAATGGGTCTCAACAAAGCCTTTTAAATATTTTTTTAAACAAGTCTAAGTTTTATTTCTTTGAAAAATCTGAAAGTATTTGAATCTCAAATACTTTGATTTTAAAGAAGTATATGGATCAAGGAAGGTGAAAATCATGACTGTTCCCTGTGGGCTGGGTTCTGTAGTTGCATTTTATCCCCCATGAGACATTTGGCTCCTCTGATGCTCTCCCTCACCATGACACACGCAGCTGGGATCAGGTCATGAGAGCATCAGCACTTAAATGACAATTCCCATGAAGCATCACAGCACCATTTTGTACTAGAACATTTCTTCAATTTTTATTTTATTCACCCCAAACCTGTTGCTGCCCATAGGTCAAAAAACTTGCCTGAGCAGATCCAGAGGCTGGGCTTCCTTTCAGATAGCACCTTGCCATTGCTGTACTGGTCTTTCTTCCCTGTGGTGCTGTGGCTTGATTGTTGCATTTCATCCTTGTAGCATCATGCCATAGGCTGTGGCACATTCTTGCTGACAGTAGATCCCAGATTTCTTGTTTTTCTTTGCTCCCATTCCTTATGATGGCTATGCCACATCTGGTAGGACCTTCCACTTGGCTTCAGATTTTTTTTCTTAAGGTACAAATGTAAGAGATCCAGCATTATACTCTCTCAGACTTTAAGTAATTTGGCACATTCCAACAACTGCCCTTGTAACAACATGAATCCTGGTCAAAAGCCCGATGAGATAGAAGACTGGCCTTTTGCATCAAGTGGTCAAGGTCTTCAGGTAAGGCCACTGGGAGAAGAATGAAAGGGCTGTTGAAAGATGTGCATTTTAGGTGCTACCCTGGAGCTGCACTGCAATGTGTTACACTGGGAGCTTCCCATTTCAGGTCTCCGTGCAGCCTCACCCCGAGGGGCCGTGAGCTGAGGAGGTGCTCAGCAGCAGTGCAGGTGCAACTGATAGTGCCTGCTCTGCTCTCACCCAGGTACTCCACAAATCTAGTCCCAGTGTGGTACTTAACTCCAGTGTCTTTGGACCTGACATGTGTTTATGTTCTCCTGGCATGATTGTAATTTGGAAACCTTTAGTCAGTTGCTTTTTCTTTCAGGGAGAAATAAATTCCATCTAGAAAACACTTTTTCTTTTTGGTTTTAGTCTTTTCTTGAAAGTACAAATACTCTCCTGAGGGGAGCAGGCTACAAACAGCTCATGTCCTACCCTCTAGTACAGCAATCACTTTTTGGGAGAAAGATAGAGGAATATGGAAGAGAAGAGTCTGCAAGCCTTTGGCATGTGCAATCCCATTTTGTCTCTGACGTCATTTATTCTTCCACTTTTACCTTCTTTTTGCCAGTGAAGTTTCTTTAGCTGTTCTGGACCATCTTTTTTCTTTTTCTTCTCCAGGACTAACTTTCCACTCCATGCTTTATCCATCACTGCCAGATCTCACCCCACTTCTTGGAATGTCCTGTGCTGATTTTAAGTATCAGTGGCTTAGGAGAGTGGACAAAGTTTAGAGGGCTGCTTTCCCAAGCTGAGCCTTGGGAAAGTAGTTTGTATTCTGCCTTGCTCCTGTCCTTAACTCACCCGAGGGCTGTGAGACATAGTAAAGAGTTGCTCTGAGAGTGCCGAGAAGTATCTTTCTCTCCTCCTGAGAAAGGTGCTTGTTCTGTGCTGTGAGATGTGGCTATGGCTGCCTGAAAAGCTGTAGTGAGCAATGGAGGGTGCCAGCACTTGGCTGCTCTGAGGATATTTTCAGAGAGACCCGTTATTCCCAGGAACTGAGCTTTAGCTGAGTCTCTGTTGGTGTGTTGGTAATTGTGCTACAAGATTCAGTAATTGCAAAGGACTCGAAACCCTTCTGGGGATGTCTCTTGCAATCAGGATGGCTTTTGTGTTGAGAACAGACTAGGGCCAAACCCAGGGCTTCCCCTGCAGGGATGTGACAAACAGGGCAGTGTCCTTCAGACATAACAGAACTTTGGAGCCAGCCAAAATACCAAATCAGTTGGTGAAATAACCTCTGCTTTGTCTCTTCTGGGCAGCCCTGTTACTGCCCTGAGGCAATGCCCTGGGCTGAAGAGACGTTGTGGGCACAGTATGAGGGGCAGGAAGGTTTCATATGTGGTTGCTTTGTTCCTTTACTCTTTCCTGGGTGTTTGCTGTGGCCAGTGCCAGAGATGAATGTGACCTGGTGTCACCATTCATCTCTGATTAGTTCTGATGGGATTCCTCCATGTTTTACAGCAGGAACAATGAGAATGAAGCATTTAGACAGTTCCTTTTTCAGTCAGTTAAAGGCTCTGGTGTCTCTGTGATTGACCATCCTGCCATATGTTTTAGGTTATGGCTTCAAGAGCTTGCAAAAGGAACAAAACCACCACCTCTTTCTGCAAAGAGTTGCAGTGTTGGTCAGCAATCCAGCCTGACTCTTCACTCTGGTCCTCTGCTAGCACAGCACGTTTCTGCAGCCACTGGAAAGCATCCTCCTGTTGGAAATCATCATTTTTAATCCTGACCCTCCCATGGGCACTGAGCAATGGGCCTCAGGTGGGAAGTCAAAGGACCAAAAGACAAACTCTCACCAAAGGAAATTTGTCACATCTTCATTGACTTTAACTGGCCCGTGGCAGTTCATAATCACTTGCAGACCTGCCTGTAATGACTGATGCTGTGACTAATGAAGAGACCAGAATTAGGCAGGTCACATAAATCCTCTGCCTGTGCTTCCTTTTCTGTAAATTAAGTTTACAGATACTTAACCTGTCTCTCGAAGGCAGTGGTGTGGAGGATAGTGAGTCTCAGTGTTTGGAAAGCACTCCGAAGACAC